TTGACCACTCCGTTTTCTTGAGCCAAAGGCCTTCATGAATTGCGCCGCTTATTAGGAGCTGGCTGATACACTCCGTGCTTTCCCTGCCTCGGATCTGGCCTGACATTCACTGCCTGAGAGGATGCAGCGTTTGGGTCATGACAATCGTGCAACTTCAGTGACCGCATAGAAGTCACATACTTTGTCCGTCCAGTACTTGGTGGTCCAAAGGATGAATCGGTTTCTTTCCGAATCCTACCTGGATGAGTCTGCAAAATTGTACACCCCACCTTTAGGAAGTTGCAACTTAGAGAGGAAACTAAAACATCTATATTATATATATATATATGCGCAGTCTGGGGGCAAAGGCCGGCAGCTGTGGCCAAAAGGTTTGCCAGAATGGCCTCGGTACAAGCACGGAATCATTCCTGGGTTTCGTGGAGCTATTTGGTGTCTTGTCTTGTTGGCTCAGGCTTCAGCATACAAAAGTTGGTAAAGAATTGCCATATGGATACAGCCTCACGGCGGAGGTCACAAAGGGGCCAAAACAGGGTGATCACCTGACCATGGCCCCAGGCAGCCAGCGCAGTTTTTGCTTTTAGCTTTCTTTTGCACATGTCCAGGAAGAGCATACAAAATGTGAGTTCAATAGCCAGCCTGGTCGACTAACTTGGCAGTTGTTTCGTTAAGCTCTCCAATGGAAGGAGCTTTTTGAGTTGACTTGCTCCGGTTGGGTCCGTTGGCCTGTGCCATGATTCTTTGCTTCATGCGGTGTATTCTTGTCAAGTCACTTTGGGAATCGTTTGTTGCGGCTTGCTAAGCTAGAGTTGCGAATGACGCTGATGTCAATCAACCAAGACATCCTGCGCCACCTCAAGTGCTAAACTACCACTTGTTGGTCTGTTTGGTTTGGGATCACCCCATGTTAGCTAATGAGATTCTCACACATGTAGTGGCGATCAAAACTTCTCCGTGTCTCCAATGCAAAAGTATTTTATTTAGGTTGACCCAGTTGACCCCTATTGGTTTCCAATGGTTTCCAGTGTTTTGGCATGCAGGCAATGTGACGTTGAATCAAAAAAGGGTCTCGGTACAGGGATAGCACCTGTCAGTTATGCAAGGTGTTCATCAATTCAGAACTACTTAAGGCAGCTCCTTCCCAAAGTGCTTGTACAAAAATTTTGCCGGGCGTTCACACAGAGGCACAAGTACTTCAGACGTGCTACCTCTCTGCCAAATGGCTGCCCCTGGAGCTTTTGGCAGGAAGCCTCTAGCTCTGCACAACATGGTCTGAATGTGTACGTAGTCAAATCGAATGACATCTAGTTCCTCTCGAGGAAAGCAGAAGGAGCAGCTCGAAGAGTGTGAGAATTGGCCCGGCCCTGCCTCGCATTTGATGTAACGGACGTGCACCTCAGTCTGAAACATCCTAACCAGAAAAATAAACACTTGACTTGACATGACTTGACTTGTATAAGCATTCCTTCGATTCCGACACATCTAGAAAGACCTTTAACGTGATTATAAGCGATGGTGCAAGGCATGCCCTTGTAGATTCTCCAACGCTATGTCACCGCCAAACTCCTACCCCGACGACCAGCGGTCCCAAGCGATCGCCCACCTTCGGGAGGAGGTTTTCCCCTCAGGCGCGCTCCGAGCTGCAGCCAAAAGGGCGGCGACGACCTCTTCCGAAAGGCTTGAAATAGAGTGGAAAGCCATTTTGCATCATTTTGTCATGGAAACCCTCTCTTGGCAAATTGGACTTCTCTCGCGTTTCCTTTGGAACAACTCTGAGTCAATGAGTCTATGACTTGAGCAGGAAGACTTTTGTGAATCCGGTACGTTCCTTGGAGGATACTCACCTGGAAACTGTTCAGCTGGAACAACCGGTGGACAGGACTGCGACATGTTCGTACCAAGGTGGCGGCACATGGGTCCATGTAGGTTCCCATCTATATTGACATGTCCGGTCCAGACTCCAGACAAATCACATCCATTAATTTAGGTTCTCCTGCGTTTGGAATTCATCAAGTCAGTCCCAACTCCCAACTTTAACTAGAGCACCTGTTGATGGGAGTGCAAAGCTAACACATTTTCCGACGGCGTTCGGCTAGTTCTTGAAAAGCTTCGCCAAAGTGCCCAGTGGGCTAGGGTTACAAGACTAGCTCTGAAAGCCTGTGACCTATGCTTCCAACTTCCGCACGATGCGAACGTGTGAGGCAATGTCAAAAGAAGGTGTCGAGACCGTTTTGGTAGGGAATCCCTACCACGCTCGACCGGGACGGATTGTGAAAAGGGGGGTTCGCACCTGGCCCTGGATGCCGCGCCTGCACTTGTCATAGTTTCGGAGATTTTCGCCGTTTCGACGCAGCACTGAAACTGACATCAAGGAAAACACTGTGCGAACTGATGAACTTGTTGAATGGCTCTTCAACTGAATACTGGCTTTCTTAGACTATTCTTAGAAGCCACGCAGCAGTGGGGTTGAAGTTCGGTCAAAGTGATGGAAAACGCATGGCAACCCAAAGGCAAACTCAAACTCCACCACACGGTCAATGCCACAAAAGACTGGACGCCAAACCAATGGAGCTGGTTTACATAGAGGTTGATCCTCTTGAGACCCTCACCCCTCTCTTTTGTGTTTCGAAGCACGTGTTACAAACATCGCCGCAGACTCTCCCGGTCCATCTCGCTTTCCAAGTTCCGGTGCCAGCGCCTACAGCCTTGCTCACGGTTGGCAGCCTCTGCGGGTCTGCCAATTTTGCCTGGAACGCAAAAGAGACATGAAAAAGCCATAGCCAATCATAGCCATATATATATATACAGTATATATATATACAGTGTATATATATATATGTATACGTATATCCCATTGCCAGTAATAGTGGATGATGATGGCTAGTAAAGGCCTTCCTCTAAAATGGTGATGCTCTTGTTTACCGACGGTTACAGGTAATGGGACAAACCCAATATAAAATATAGTTGTATATATATATATAAAGGCTCAAACCCCTGTCCGTCCAGCCCTTTTTGCTTCGCAAGACCTTATTAGTCAAAAGAAATTGAATAACATACATAAAA